CGAACTATAATTATTTATTTCTAAAATACAACATGTAGATTCACCTTTTTCAAATTTTTCAATTAACGTTAGTTTTTGTTTTATAGTAAGTACGACTTTCTTTCGATTATTAGGCATTTTAAGGGTACTTATCTGAAAATTTAAAAAAAAAAAACATCTTATTTTACATAATTTTACACTAAAAGTATTTGTGGGAGAGTTATTTGAAAAAAATATTATGTATAATATGTATTATACATACATACATATAATCAAATCTTAAATTGTAATAAGTATTATAGCATGCAACTAAATGATACTTTGTATAAATGTACTCACTATCATTTTCTCCTCCAAAAAGAAACGTCTGACGCGAAAGAAGTGGCCTAACTAAAACCAGTCCAGCTGACTTCAGATACCCCCACCACCCGCTTCAAACATCTAAATATGTGCACACTTATAGGATGCATAAACATGAAAGCGAGCAACTATTTAAAAAATACATACACATATAATTATTTTTTTTAAATTAAATTCATGTATGGATAATCTGCGCACAGATAATCAGGAGTTTACTGTATTAATTACTTTCCAATTAATTATTTTTAAATATTGATGACACTGAAGCATTAAATAATTTGATATTTCTGTTTTTACATGTTAGTCAATTATCTAATAATAAATAGAAAATAATAATTTAGACTTAAATATTTTATAAAATTCTTAAAATTAAGACACAATACAATGTAAGTGATCCAACATATATGAGACCAAAACAGCATTACATTCAATTACCAAATTACTGCAAGCTTACAGATTTTAATAAATTAATAATTTAAGTACAATAAAAATGTAATTAAATTTAAATATAATTGATGTAATGAAAACAATTGAACACATACATAAATTTAACATTATGGAGTTAACTTTTAATGACACAGCAAAACACAATTTGGACTACTAATCAAAACATCTAAGCATGCTGCTATCACTGATAATTTATGTTATGAGGTTTATGGATTTCCACTAAATGTAGTGAGAAATTGAACCAACTGTGAGAAATTTTGTGGTATGTACAGTATTTTTCGTGGGGAATTTCAGGGAAGTGATTTTTATATTTATACAGTATTGTCTTATAAGGTACTGTACTTTTATGAGCATTCTATGATGATGAACCTAGCAATCTTCAACACTGTGCTCAAGCTTGGACTCAATGTGATGCATGTTTAGTGGGAAGGTGTTCAAATTTTGTGAGAACTGGAGTTTGAACTAGTGGGAGGTTTGTTTGTGACTTGGCAACAGTGCCAGTAACACCAGAAAATTGCTTAATGTTAGATTTAGACAGGCATTTACACACCTTTCCAATTAGGACGACACAGTAAGGGAGCTACATCTGGAGGACATTGCAACAAGTCACAGATACAGAAGGGACCTAATACATGGTTTGGCACATGCCGTCTCCAACCAATGGGCCAGGAGCAGCACCCCCATTACCCAGAGGGCTTCCAAAGGAGCTTGGAATCACATGCCTAACTCTAAGCACATCATAATAGAATACAATCAATACTTACATGCCTTATATAAGGAAATAGCAGGCATAACAGGTACCAAGCAGGCTTACAAAAGGTCCCAATTAGGGTTTCTCAAACGGGATCCCGGGATCCCGGTTGTTTTTTTAACCCAGAAAATTTTTCTTATCCCAGGAAATCCCGCAAATTTCTTAAAAATTCACTTTTTTTCTTATTTTGTGTTAAGGTTGAGGAATTTTGCAAATAGAAAGCATAATTAACTCATTCACTGTCAGAATACATTTGTATTTATTAATTTTAAACCTACCTATTAGTTTTTTTTAAATTTTTGCTCGTTATAGCATGTCACAAATGGTCAATAATCAATATATAGCTTATTTGTGGCAGGACTATAAAAATTCTTTACTTGTCGGAACCTGTAATATCTGGAATAATTGTGCTTACGCTGTCTTGAGTTTTAACCATGCCCAGTAGCTTCAATAAATGCCTGACGCCAGATTGTGCAAATTGGGCAAGGATACAAACGAGTACAAAGTCTGCAAGTATGAAGTTTTTCTTCATAAACCTGATTATTAAAGCCAAATGAATTGCCGAATTATCGAGCTCTAAGCTTGATGCCGCTATTAAAGCAGCCAAGGTAGACAAATCAAGAATACTAGAGAGCGAAAGAAGTACTACAATCTCGAAAACGAACTCGAAATCTTCCAGGCTACAGGTGAAAAAACACATAATATCTGTCTTCTCTTAAATGCATTAAACACTATTCCAATCACATCAATTGAATCGGAAAGGGCATTCTCGGTGGCAAGACTTTTCATTACTAAAATAAGAATTAGAGTGAGTTATCGGAGTATTGACCATCTTTGCTTTTTAAAATCTTATAAAAGTTTGCAATATTTTGTATTATATTTTATTTAAAAAACGAAAATTACCTTCTAAATTAGAAGTTCATTTTTTTAATTTTTAACTCAATTCAAAACATTTTTTTTGTTGTTGTTGTATGCAGTTTCCAGCAAACTTTAATTAATTTTTTTCTATTTGTGAAAATTTCTACGTTATTTAAAGGTAATTTTTATTATAGGCCTATAGACCTAACACAGCATTATTAATATGATTTTGGAGGTTACAAAACTTTAAAATTACTTTAAAAAATGGAAAATAATTATATCATTTGATTTCAAGATATTTTGTATACCTTAAAAATAATTAATTCTATCCCGGGATTTCCCGGGATCCCGGGAAACAGTTCACTTTTATCCCGGGATCCTGGGACAAGCAAAAGACTGGGAAATGAGAAACCCTAGTCCCAATCAATATATGCATTATTACAAAATGCAAAGGACAAATCTATTGATCTTAGAACCCCAGGTGTGTACAGTGTCTGGTGAGGGCCAATGTAAATCAAGTCTCTCTGGAGAGAGACTTGATTTACATTGGTTCCACCAAACATTCCATACAACAAAGGATGTGGGAACACAAGTACAACATTGACAACAAAAGGCACACTGCCCTATCCACATGCCACTGACCTGAAAGTGCATGCAAACCTTCCTAGTACCAGGCGAATAAAACAGGCCTTTCATACCAACCATATTAGGGTCCTTGAGGCCATAAAAATATACAAGGCCAGCCTGACGGGCAAGTGTGTCAAGTTTAAAGATGGTAACACATTATAGTATGCCTGGCATTACTTGTGTGAAGAACATGGCAACTCTAATACACATTGAATATACATTATTTACTGGCATGCTGGACCCTCAAATAACAAGTTCATAGGGGTTGCCTTATATGTATATGGTGAATTCACATATTTATAACCATTAAGTCTCTGTTTGTTTTATATGTTCCAATGTTTTAAATTTAATATTCAAAAACATTCTATTCCAAGTATTCCAATTTTGGAATTCAATTGTTCTCTAACCTGACTTTAGGGTTTTAAAAGTTAAAAACTATACTTTAAGATTTTTTTCATTACATGGTTTGGATTTAATTAAAGAATATTTTTGTATTCAGTAAAATAGAACATACATGCAAACACCCATATAATTATATACATATATAATTTACTAAATGAAATTATTCATATTTGAATGTAATCAAAACAATAGTAATTATTATAATATATAATTTTTATATAGGTTTTCATATATAATTAAAATGTATATTTGTCATGCAATAAAAAATTTTTCACAAATATATAAATTAGGGCATTACATATTTCTCAACATTAAATTTTTTTAATATTAAAGAAATTATATACAATGGAACCTCGGTATACGACCTTAATCCATTCCTGGTGTTTGGACTTATACTGAATAGGACGTATACCAAACCAACCTTTCCCATAAGAAGTAATGTAAAAATGATTAATCCGTTCTCATGTAAAAAAAAAAATGGCTGGCTTTAAACACCTCGCTTTCCTGGCTAGTTCCTGCTTGATTTTTCATGAGATCAGCATGTATCTTTTTAGCTTTCTCGCAAATAATTGCTTCTGATACACTGTTGCCAGCACACTGTTTTTCAGTTATCCAAAGCAAAAGCAATTTCTCAATATGATCTAATGTCTTCAATCTCTGTTTAGAAATTGATTTAACCCCTTTCTCAACATTAGCAGGTTTAATAATGTCTTTATTTTTCACAATTGTCGATATCATCATTCTTGGAATACAGTATGCAACAGTTAAATCTCAAACATGCATGCCACCTTCATATTTCTCAACAATCTCTTTTTTCAGTTCCATTGTGATTCTAGTCATTTTTTTATTTTTCTGTTGCCTTTTTGAAATTCATGATTAATAAAAATGATAAAATAT